AAAATAATAATATTCCTGTATTAAAAAACAATACATAAAATATAACATAAAAATAAAATATATATTATTGTATTAATGTATTATGCTAATAGAATAGTAGATGGCTGTCGAGACTCAGACAWGTAAATTTTACTATTTTTAAATGAATATTATATTTTTTATAAAGGTATGATTGTATAAAAATTACAATGATATTAACAATTAATATTGATTTAATTAGTATTGAATAAAGTTTAGATATTCAATACAGTTTATCAAAAGTACCTAACCAACTATTTTCATTAAATCTTATTGTTTTTTTATGAATTGAAATYCCTAACTCACGCTTACGTTAATCAATAAAAGTAATGTGTCTATGTCACTTAAATAACAAAACATACGAATACGCAAGTGGTTGTTTATGTTAAACGAGTGACATTAATTTTACGCCATATTGTAATTTTTTGTTCAATACTGTAGAACAAATTACTCTTTGGACAAATAGTTATTGRATTTTAAGGGTAAATATGGGATAACTGATCATATTAATTTTCAAAAGTAATCCCAATGGCCAAGTTGTTGAGAGTTATTTCTTTAGTAAAAAAATAAAAAAATAATTTTCAAAATAAATGACTTTTGTAATATAGCACGTTAATCTGTTGTAAGAAAGAAAATAATATTACTCCGAAGCAGTTAATGAGAGCAAGAAGCAAGCTTATAACATGTGATTGTTATTACCTAACCAAAAAAGTTTCTAACTATAATAAAACGATATTAACTATTWGTGTTTAATTTTGAAATACCTACGTTCATTGTAACGATTTAGTTTTTATTTGTAATGTTCGGAAAATAATTACTTTTAAGTTTGTAGTAGAACTTTATTAGAGAAGGCCTAGGAGGTTAGGGGTCCTTTTATTTTATGTTATAAAAATTGGGAAAATATCGAAATGTACTGCTCACTAGTTTCGAAGAAAATAGATATCWTTTATTTTGTCGTAACTCAGTAATTAGAAACTATAGGTCAAATAACATAATTATAAGTTTATTAACCAAGCTATATAATATAATATATCAATTATTTATTTAACTATTTACCATACACGAAATATTTTTGCGTTATTTATTAATTTATTATTATTAAGTACATTATCCTAACCTATTG